AATGGAAAAAAAGTTGGGGAAGGGTTTGGGATGCATGATCTATGAATTTTGTGGCAGTGTACGTTTTATGGTTAATTTATCTCGTTTGGGACCTTATGTTGGACACTTGATTCCTGTAAAGGGTCCCATGTGCCTATTTTTTTTCCATGCAATGACAAACGAAAGAAAGGAGAAATTGTAAATAAAACAATTTCAGTTTTCGTTCAAAAAAAATTTTTAAATACAAAGAAGAACCCAAGATTAAATAACAGTGTACTATAACCCGGATGGTTCTTTGTTGGCCACAAAGAAATGTACAACAGATCCTTTGGTTGCTTGTTGCTGGATTCTTCTCCTCTTTCTGTAATCCCACAACTTAGACTATTACAATCGTACTCTCAGCGCCATTCCTAGGGGAGTCTCGAGCAGTAAAAAAAAAAAAAATTTAAGTTGAGAGTTTAAAATTCAAACAACCCTAAAACAGTTTTAAAAAAAAATTAAAATTTTTTTTATTATTTATTCTATATTATTGTTCCATTGAAATTAGTTAGCGGGAAAAGCAGCAAGGAAAATGTGAAAATGAAATGAAGCTAAACAAACAGAACAGATGCCGTCATACTGCAGTTCAGGACAGACAACAATTTGTGTCACGCCGCTCCAGCGCTGCCACTTGCGCCCACTTGCGCCAAAAGCCGCTTGTGGTGCTGGCACAACTGAATTCCTTTATCTCTGGCAGCACAGAACTTTGTGCCTATACGTGCTACGAGTGAGTCTGAGGGGCTTTGCAAGGCCATCCTAAGATACCTCACTCATTGAGCCTCGGAACGTTAGGCTGTCAAGTATGAATACCGCTCACTGATATACCTCAGTGTCAATGAGCCGATAAGGAATGCATAGGGAGATCGCTGGATCCCATAATCCAACGGAGACCTAAAGTCTATATAACCACTTTGCCTTTTTTTTTAATAAAATAATGATAATATTGTACTATGGTTGTTTAAAAAGTGACCACTTTGGTCAAAGATGAATGTTTAGGATTTTTTTTAAGATATTGTTTTCAAGATTTTATTATTTTTTTTTTAAACAACTACAAATTTTAGGAATGGAGAAGGGGGATGTGGCCAAGAACTTTCAAATTTTGATTTAGTGGGTGATCAACAGTATTGTTTTCACTCATTCCATAGGACAAGTTTGTTTTCAAGATTCTATTAAAATACAACTTATCTAAGAATATCATTTTGCCATATAAAAAAAGAAAAAAAAATGATGCTAGTTTCTGGGGGTTGGCCTCATGGTTAGTGGAATAATAATATTAGTAAGGTAATATGGTGGAAGGAGATTATTGTACTACCAAGCTGCTTGCTCTTTTTGAAATTGGTATAATAAGTGAGATCATTCAATAGTTAAAGAAGCTTATAAGGCAATTTTTTTACATCCTATAGTTTTGTTGTTACCCTTATAATGAACATGCTAATTTTTTTAGGAGAGTTTAACAAGTCAATTTCAAATTGCACAAGTATAAAAGCACGAATACATATGAAAAGACGTCATATTAAATCCAAAAGACATGTCTATCAGGTTCATGGGCTTCCCATATAATATTGCACTCTAACACTTTATTTTTCATCAATGTAGGATTTTTGTACATCACTCAACTTAACTCCACTCCAATGTTTATACTACTCCAATAAATATCTTATGTTAAGGTGAATTATGCTAAAAGAAGATTTAACTATCATATCTTGAGATCAAGTCTAATGGTCATATTCTCTAATAGCCATATTCATTTAAGCATTTTATTAACCTTTGACGCATTATAAGTATAGGTTTGATTATAATTTGTACTATAGGTTTGCTTCTTTATTTTTATGTACACCTATATAGCAAGTCAAAGATACATTGTACTTCTTTTATTATATATTAATATATATTTACCAAAAAATTATATATTAATATGTCCTTATTTTTTTTCTTTAAAAAATTAAAAAATAAAAATAAAAAAAGAGGCCACATACATGAATTGTGCTGAAGATAATGGGTTGGGAGGAGAAGACTCTAGTGCATAACTAAGATATGGATGGAGCGTATTGGCGCCGGGGTGAAAGCAATGTTCTTGGACTTTTTCCCATCTTGTACTGTTCCATATATATATATGAAGTAAGGGTGAAAAATTCAGAATAGAAAATTCTAACGAAAAATTGGTTAAAGATGGTTGAAAAGGATGGAAGCATCACCCCCCGAATCTTTCTACCCCAAAAGTTTTCGACATGCAGTGGGAGAGGATTGTTACATGTTGACTCTATTGCTCTCTCCCCATCTAGCTAGTGGCATAGATGTGAATATGTGATTCCTTGGAAGCTTGAGATGCTGGTAAGAGTAATAGTTTATTTTATAGCTCTGTACTCAATTGCTCCCATGACATGTATTTTTTATTTTTTTTGAACAAATTTATAAAGGTTTGAATTCGAACCGTTATTTAGAGAAAGGAGGATGCACTTTAAATATGACTTGATACTACTGGACCAAAGGTCCAAGTGTGCTCCTATGACATGTATTTTTTATTTTTTTTGAACAAATTTATAAGAGTTCGAATTCGAACCGTTGCTTAAGGGCTTAAGGGAAAGGAGATGTACTTTAAATATGACTTGATATCACTGGACCCAAAGGTCCAAGTGTGCTCCTATGACATGTATTAATAGTAGTTAGTCTTTTATTCTTAATTATTCTACTTGCAGTAGGGACGCTATCTGCTTTCTAGGCTGTAGGATTGATTTTTTTGTCCATGTGGCCCTTATAGGATTCTCATTGTAATCTCCTATTGTTATCAATGAATCTTGTGCTTTTGATAAAAATAAAAAATAAAAAGAAGATGGAAGCATCTCTGTCCAATCAATCAGCTATAAGTTAGGTTAGGAAGCTATGATGTGGTGTTCATATACAGATGCATGGTATGCTTCACCATGAATATATATACAGAAACTATGATAAATTTAGGAGGGGGTGGAAAATGGAAAAAGAGAACAGCGTTTTGGGGCCATATGAAATTGGCCAAGTGAGGTAGAGCAGCTGAGAGAGAAAAATAGGAGCAGTGGGATGGAGATGGACAGATGTGAGCACGAAGACAAAAAAAGGAACACCTCTTGTAGCTAGGGTCGGGCTTCTTAATACCTTATCACGCCCCTCGTCTTCTCTTTTTTAACTGTGTGTGTGTGTTTTACAATCAGTTGGTTTTTGAGTCACTTTAACGTATCAAATAAGTTGAAAAAAAAAATATTTACATTTTTAGTCTACCCTCCACTTAAACTATTAAATTTGACTGGCCATCCCACAGTCCTTTTGGTTTGGACATTCATTATTGAATGTGCATACCTTATTGGTTCTGTGTTCGATGGCCGGTGATACTTCTGCTGTTTCATAAACTATTAAATTTGAGTCAAAATTAAAAAATTTATAAAAAAATTATTTATTTCTATTAATTATACGTGAAACTAAATATTAATTAATGGGTAAGGTAAAATTATAAACCTCCACACCAAGCCAAACAACCTACTAGGGTGATTTTCTGCTTTTTTTCACATTTGTATTTTACATACAGAGAAAACAGAGGCATTTGCGCAGAGGGGATAACTGAAACTGATTTAAAGGATAATGGATGGGAAAGAGTTTGGTCCTAACGCACGATACCTGTTGGTGGGTTAGGTAGCAAACCCTGCCCCCCCCATTGGACCCATCCCTAGATTCCTGCCCCTTCTCTCTCCCTCCTCTAAATGCATTCCCCTTTGTACCTAAAGATATATGCAGCCAACTCAGGTCCCTTTTTTTTCAAGTAACCTCTTTTCTTTACAAAACTAAGGCAACATAAAATATCACACCGTCACAAAAGTTCCCCCTTTCTAAGAAACCCTAATTCAAAAATAGATACTAATATTATTAGTATAATTACCATTTAAAAGAGAAAGAGAAAAAAAAAAAAAAGCCTTAGCCTTCCTTTAATTCTATAAAAACCATCCCATACCCATCTGAACCCTCCTGTTTAGGAGAAAATATTTATTTTCGGTCTGGAAGTCACCCACTTCACATTAGAGATGAATAAAATATTAAACGCCCTTTAATTTCATATCCCTTTAGAAATGGAATCAAGCTACTGAAAAAGTTCTTGCTTCTCCCATCCTGAAATTTTTCTTTCTCTAAAGACAACTGTCTTTATTGAGAAAACACCACAATTTGTCTCTTAAGAGTGAAAAAAGGAGCAACCCATTGAAAATGACCTCAAATTATTGAACTTTGATGGTAAATGGTACTCAATCAAAAAGTTCCACAATTCCCTGATCACTAGGCATAATTATTTATACCATTACTATCCCTTTTTCTTGTTTCTCACTTTTGTACAGAAGATGCAATTGCTGTTCATTATTGTTGTAATTTAATTTGTTTTACAAATTTTTTTGAAAGATTTTATTTCTTGATAAGATGTTTATCTGGATCTTTGGTTTGATTAATTAGTCCTACGTCACTTGCATACCATTTTATCCACGTACACATTGCAAAGTTCTACCAAATGATAAGTGACAAGTGTGACACTGATTAAAATTATTTTCACCCAAATGACATTTTAGGAGGTTTAAATCCAAGTTTCCAAAATGCTTACAATTTGCCAAAGCCAACGGTTTACTATCTGTTCTGCAACAGCCAATGTCATACATAAAAATATAAAATCTAATCCTTTCTTCTCTTTTTTTTCTTTTTTTTAATGATTTACAATTTGAAGGTGAAGAAATTTAAATTTCAATCCTAAATTTAAAAAAATACACCTTACCATAAATATAGAGTTATTAGTACACGAGAGACCCAATGCCTACTCCTTTCTTCATATAAAAAGAAAGGGAATTATTTCCATAAAAAAGGGGGAACTACTGAATCAACGTCATCATACATCATACATCTTTTCTTTCTGTCTCTCTCCCCTCCCCTCTCCTCATCTTAAATACATTTATATAAAAGAAAAATTATCGCTTCCTTAAGGAGAAGTGGAGAACTATTTCCTAAGGTATACAAGTCTTCAAAATTTTGCATCTCCATTCTACTAAAGAAAAATCTGATTTTCCTTTAAAATCTATTAAAGGATTATACGTATATCTGAAATATAAAGTCTCTCTCTTCTTTCTCCTTTTCTCTTACACTAAAAATTTTGTCTACTTCAAGCATCTTCAGCATCCTTTCTCTGATGAACATGAAAGAAGTCCACCACAACACCTTTCGATATTGGTGGCATAAGTAAGGCTGCAGCAGCTTGGTCATGACTTGCAATTGGATGGCTTTCTTCCCCACAAATTACATGCTTCAAACCGCTCGAGATGATGACAATCAACCTCCCTCCTCTCTCAATCCAATGCTTCCTTCATGCACCACCCAAGACTTTAATGGTATGGTACTATTCTTTTCCCTCCCATAGAAATTTTGATAGTATGATTATCTTTTACATACTTTTGAACCTCTTACCTAAACTGTAGATCAATTAAGGTTTCAAAGTTGGTTGATTGTTGCTGTGGTTTTCAGGGATGGCATCATTTCTAGGGAAGAGATCTTCAATGTCATTTCCAGGGATTGATGTCTGTGAAGAGGCAAATGGGGAGGGTGATTTATCAGATGATGGCTCACAGGCCGGAGAGAAGAAGAAGAGGCTTAGCACAGAACAAGTTAAGACTCTAGAGAAGAACTTTGAGTTAGGAAACAAGCTTGAGCCAGAGAGAAAAATGCAACTAGCTAGGGCTCTTGGGTTGCAGCCAAGGCAGATTGCTATCTGGTTCCAAAACCGAAGGGCACGGTGGAAAACCAAACAACTTGAAAAGGACTATGATCTCCTTAAGAGAGAGTGCGAAGCCTTAAAAGCAGACAATGATGCACTTCAAGCTCAAAACCAAAAGCTCCATGCAGAGGCAAGTCATTAGATATATCCTTAGCATTAATTAGTTGGTACCTGCTTTTTCTCTTTCATTCTGTTACACCTTTTTCAAGTTTGCTTGCTTCTATTTGGGGCTGCAGATATTGGCACTAAAAAGCAGAGAACCAACAGAATCCATCAACCTCAACAAAGAAACTGAGGGTTCTTGCAGCAACAAAAGTGAAAACAGCTCAGAAGTGAAGCTGGACATCTCAAGGACTCCAGCCATTGACAGCCCTCATCCCACTAGCAGACCCCTCTTCCCTTCCTCCATAAGGCCAACATCCCTCACACAACTCTTCCAGAACACATCATCAAGACCAGATCACCTCCAATGCCAGAAAATGGATCAGATGGTAAAAGAAGAAAACAGCCTCACCAACATGTTCTGCAGTATTGATGATCAATCCGGGTTTTGGCCATGGCTGGTGGAGCAGCAACATTTCAATTAAGATAGATCATTCATCACCATATTATAATTTGTGAGTTCAATTAATATCCGTGTTTTATAGCTACATATGAGTGGTGTATAAAGCAGAATGTCATATATAATCAAGTTTAAGTTTCAAGAGGGATGAGATGTCTATGGAGGAATAAGGTTTAACTATGTGTTTCCTAGGCTTTGGAAGATGTTTTTCCTAGGTTGGATCATGCCAGATACAATCCCAAGTTAAATAATATTTAATGCATATGATTTGCTGGCCACTAGTTGTTAGCATAGGCTATGAAATAAAAAGGAGAATTCTCTCTTTACATATAAATTTAAATGTTTTTTATTGCTTTAGAATCCTACTTATAAATTTTCGTTGTTAATGAAAACAATTGTTAGTGACCTGCGGTTAGTGATAATCTCTTCCATTTCAAAGTTTGAGATATTGAAATTGAATCATAATATGGGGTAGGTAAAAGGACGTGAGAGAATTAACTCCTATTATATCATATATTTTTTTCGTATAAGATAAATTACATAAAATAGAAAGGAGGAGTAACCAACACACCTTGCAAGGGGAGAAGGGGACATACAGATCGAAGAGTGGAAGAAAACAAGGAGAGTTGGAAATGGTCATTCTCGTGACAAAGAAAGGAGGATTGATTTCAATTCAAAAGCCAATGTATAGCACCCACCTTTTGGCACTAGATGCAGGGCAGAGGTGTCCATTTTCTATGAGCTAAGATCCTTTTTTCCTGAGTACGTGTTTTGACAGAATGGAAGCAGAATGAGGACTCTTGTGAGGGCACTGTCACCGGCCTTCCAACGCTTCCCACTTTGATCACAAATCTCCTTTTCCACTATATGTCTTGGGTTTGATCCTCTTCTTTTTGAGAGTGACAAATTAATATATATATATATATATATATATACATATAAAGGGTGTTGTCTAGAAAAAAAAAAAGTGTTCTGACAGTCAAGATCACATAATATAAGTCATTAGATGAGAGCCTTCCGATGCAGGGCAGCTCCCTGATTTGAGAACCCGTGCTTTGTACTTTGATTTATCTGATTGCAATATACCGACACAATTCATTTAAAGTAATTAAGGCAAAAAAAAATCATATATGGTAATCGAAAACGTGTTTTACAATTTAAATTATTTTGATTATAAATAAAAGCAAACTTCTTAATATTGAGAGCTCCTCTCTCATTTAATGGTTTTTGTTTTATAATTTAAATTGTTTTGATTATAAATAAAAGCAAACTTCTTAATATTGAGAGCTCCTCCCTCATTTAATAGTTTTTGTTTTATAATCTAACAAATTATAAAGTAAGAAACTTTAAAATAATCATCTATGAAGTAATTGTCAATTACTTGTGTACTAGTCCACAGAAGATATTTGGGTTTAAAAGTTGCCTATGAATATTCATCATTCATTCATTCCAAGGTACCCGCTCAGATTCAAAGCAGAGAATTTGCTTTTGGAGTATGAAAAAAATCAAACATATCACGGATTGGGTTCTTAATCCTGTGGATTGTTTAAAATCAATTTCAGTAGCCAGGGGAGGCTTCAAGTGGAGTAGTGGACTAAGGAATTCAATCATAAGGTTTGGCTTTTAGGATGGAAGGGTTTATGGATATAGGAAATTTGTTCATAATATCTTGATTTGTGTATAATGGTTTTGTAATTAGTTCTGTAGATTCATATTCAATGTTAGTTAGGGTTATAATTTTCCTTTTTTATCAGAAGCACAGGAATTGCATTTAATGAAAAGTCAAGGACAAACTAGCAAAAAACTAAAGTAGGTGAAAACAGATAATTACATTGTTGGTATCCAATCTTACAAGGTACTTTTTCGATGGGTAACATTATTCTTGCAGCTTGGAAGAATATAAATCCACGGCAAAACTTTCAAATTTACCTTTAAAAAATATCAGCAAGGACACATTCATCTCTAAAAAAAAAAAAGTATATATTGTCCCTCTAAATTATAAATCAATATAAATCACTTATTTTTTAACGAAAAACATCATAATTATGTTTGTCACGTTATCATTTTTTAATGAAAAACGTTGAAAAATGAGTGATTTGTATTGATTTATAATTTAAAAGGACAATTTATCCCTATTTTTTTTTAAGAGTGAATGTGTCCCTACCGATATTTTTTTAAAATGAATTTGAGAGTTTTGCCTAAATCCACCGACACCATGAATTTACCCCATACGTTTATAAAGAAATTTGAAGACCTACGAAATTTGTAAACCTATCCAAGGAGTTATGCGGCTTAGTTGCATAGGGGTTTCCTCTTCATTTTATTGAGGAATGTTTGATTTACTAAAAATAACTAATGAAAAGGTAATTCATTATAAATTTCTTAATTTTGAAGTAGATAATCTGTTTTTAATTGAATTAAGAAGGGATTAATATTAAAATTAAAGTATAGACCCAAAAACACCCAAATGGTTAAAAAAAAAAAAAAATTGTAGCCCCAAGGACCAAGCGAAGTTACCTTAGAAATTTGTACTAATGATGGAGAATTTATTAAAAACTCACATTGATCAACAGAATAGCTATTACTAATAAGGAAGAGGGAATTCAGTTATTTAAAGTTGCTTTTAACTTCAAAAACTTGATATTAATTTTAGCTTACAAAAAACAATATTCTATGATCAAAAAAGACAAAAACCCTATTGTGTGCAAACAAGCATGTGACAGAATCTACACATCATTCTGGTAATGTTGATATTTGTGTATCATTGCTTTTGTATTAATTTTTTATGGGTTTACATCAATGGCCACATGTTTGGTGGCTAAGATTCATTATTTCGTTCTACCATTAAGCTTCTTTATCATTAATAATTTTGGGTTTTGGATTAATTAAACTAAAGCAAAAATAACAGGATTTTCAGATGCATGTGTCTTTTTTTTTTTTTTTTAATAGTTAAGGTATTTCCAAACTAGTTTATTTGGTTCAGTTAAAGGCAAATTATCCACGTCAAAACTAAAGAATTCATTAAAAATTATTTTTTTATTAATCTTTTTTTAAAAAAATCAAATTTTATTCAATAAGGTGAAGAGTAAATCTCTTTATCAATTAAGTCACAACTTCCTAAGTTGCATGTATCCACTAATAATCGCAAACAATTAGAAAGAAATTGAAGGATGCCACTTGAACCATTTGCAATCAGTTCAACGGTACCTTGACTTCTTTGTCCAGGTTTGTTTCTAGAAAAGTAATCACATGTAATGTACATGAGGAAATCTAGAAAGAGGCTCTTTCCAAAATTTCCTGAGAAACATTCAGCAGTTTCTTGTACATTATGAATGGCTCGGTCGTCTGTCCATTATTTTATAGGAGACCTCATCAGAAAAATTGAAGGAAATTTCACAAAGCTTCTGACTCCACATTAAGGTCCTCTCAGGCATCCCCTGCTTGCAGAAGTGGGACAAAACTACATTAGTTGTAATGACATTTGGAACAAAGGCCATTTTTCAGTTACGATCATGACGCTGTAGTATGTCACTGCAAACCGCATTCACATGTTAAACCAAACAGAGGATCAACTAGCAAAACAAATTTAAGATAATCCAACCTGGTTACCATTCCTGTTTCTCAAGGATTTGTCATAACACGATTTCAATTTTGGTATCTTTAGTAAAATTCTCTCAATTTAATTAAAATGTAAAAAATAAACAAATAAATAAAATTAGAAATTAAAAAAGAGAATAAAAATAAAGAATACTAAAATATAAACAAATAGATGATGGAATTAATTTGGAAACTAATGAAATTTATTTTATGTTTATTTCTGGGACTATAATGAAATGATGAAAAAATATCTGGACAAAAAAAAAAAGAATTGATCCCACTTGTCTTATTTGGTAGAAAAAAATTAATAAACAAATTTAAACCTTTAACTGTTGGTAATAACGGTTAAAATTAATGAAAATGTGGATTGCATCCAATTAAGGATGATATTGAACATAAAAGGTGTAGTAGAGGGATCACATTTATACCATAAGGAAAGTAGAGGGATGATATTGAACATTTTCTTAGTGAAAGGACGGTAATGAACATTTTTAAAAAGTACGAGGACTACAGTTGTATTTAACCCAAAAACAAATGCCTGGGGTTCATTTTCATCCCCTATCTCTGAAGAACAAAGCACAATTTGCCGCGCGAGTTCCTCCTCCGTCGATGTATCCGAGGTTTCTCTGAGCGAACTCCGATGAAAAGGTCCGATGGCGTGTGAAGGAAACGCGGTTCGGTGAAAGTTGTTGGCTTACAGACTGAGTTGGCTCAAATCAGGCCTCGCCTGACCATCCAGGTGCCGGTCGAGGTCTGACACCGGAAGTTGCCTTGCCTTCTCCCGCCCGCCAGCATTAGCGGAATCCGCCTCCACCCCAGCCAAGGTTAGATTATAGCCATCTGTGTGTGCACGAAAATGTTGACAGTAAATTTAAAGGAGAAGGCATCATATATTTACTAAATAAATCTCAAAATCAAACCGAACATGGTTATTTCTTTAGCTTGTTTTTAATTTACATTAACCATTTTCTCCTTTGCTTGCAGAGTTTAGGAATCCAGTTTGTAATATGAATATTTTCAAGAAGCTTTTGCCCACGAAAGCTGGGATTTCTGGTCTCAAAAAGTATTCTGGTGGTAATGTGAACTCAGTTTTCTTTTCTTTTCTTTCCTAAATAAAATTTTAGATGCTTTAGGTTATTCTATTATCGAAGCCCAATTACAATCCGCATATATTCTTGGGTTGGTTGGAGACAGCATAAGTTGATCAGGCTATACAGGAATATTATAAGTATGCATTTATCTGTTAGGCTGCTTTTTAAACAAGTGAACAACCCAACACTAGCAACCATTGGAGATTTTTCTCTCTTTTTTTTGTGATTTTTCTGTGAACTTTCTTAGAAGAAAGCTTTATATGTTTGAACTTTTTTTTCTCTTTGTCATTTGTTTGATTAATAGAGGCAGTGGCGTGAATCGAATTGGGTAATTGGGCATTCAAAAGGGAGCAACTTGCTTGTTCTTGTCAGGCTTTTTCATCTTTGGAGTTTTGTTTGGTAATGTGAAGCTATGACAGCTTTTGGATATGTATGCTTTTTATTTTTTCCTGCTTTTTTGGCTTTTGAGGCCTGTTTAATATGTTTCTTGAATTTTTCTGGCCTTTGCTAGTCTTTCTACGGTTCTACCTAACCTTAGGAATAGATAACATTTCTTGTACCCCAGAATGTATTATTTGCCTTTTGGTAATAAATTTTTTTTTTTTTTGTCTCAATCATAATCTTGTTTTGGTGGTTTTTTCTGGTGCATAATTGCAAGAATGTTGAGTAGATAGTTAAAACTTGGTACTTTTAATGATGACAAATGCTTGATAGAGCTTCACAAATTTAATTGTTTGTTCTTTTATAATTGTTTATTGGTGTCCATTGCAGCTTCTTGTCTTGCCTTCCTACATTCAGCCCCGGATACCACAGTAGAAATTCATTCTCAAGAGCAGGAAGTGGTGATTGCTTTAGGTAGCAATGTCGGTGATAGAATAAACAATTTCAATGAAGCCTTGCAATTAATGAACAAACTTGGTATACATGTCAGAAAACATGGTTGTTTGTATGAAAGTGAACCTGCCTATTACACTGATCAGCCTCGTTTTCTAAACTCTGCGATCAGAGCTGTTACAAAACTTGGGCCACATGAACTCTTAGGGGTGCTTAAGAAAATTGAGAGAGAAATGGGTCGTACTGATGGGATACGATATGGTCCAAGGCCAATTGATTTGGATATATTGTTTTATGGAAAGTTCAAGGTTTGTTCTGATTTACTTACTGTTCCCCATGAGAGAATTTCAGAAAGACCATTTGTGGTGGCGCCATTGATAGATTTACTGGGATCAGCTATTGACAGTGATATTGTTGCTCGTTGGCATTCTCTATTATCAGATTCAGATGGGCTCTTTGGAGTGTGGGAGAAATTGGGTGGTGAATCTCTCATTGGTAGGGAAGGGTTAAAAAGGGTTTTTCCCATTGGAAATCATTTATGGGATTGGTCAGAAAAGACGACTGTAATGGGTATTCTTAATCTGACCCCTGATAGTTTTAGTGATGGACGTATGTTCCAGTCTGTGGATGCTGCAGTTTCACAGGTTCGATTGATGGTTTCAGAAGGGGCTGATATGATTGACATAGGTGCGCAATCTACACGGCCAATGGCCTCCAGGATTTCTGTTGGGGAAGAATTGGATAGACTAATCCCTGTATTAGAGGCTGTTGTAAAAATGCCTGAGATGGAAGGAAAGCTCATATCTGTGGATACTTTCTATTCGGATGTTGCTTCAGAAGCAGTAAGCAAAGGGGCTCATCTCATAAATGATGTATCAGCTGGGCAATTAGACCCAAAGATGCATCGTGTGGTTGCGAATCTCAATGTTCCTTATGTTGCAATGCATATGAGAGGAGATCCTTGTACAATGCAGAGCAGTGACAATCTGCAGTACAATGATGTTTGTATGCAAATTGCGTCTGAGTTGGCCTCCAGGGTTAGGGATGCAGAGTTATCAGGTATCCCAGCATGGAGGATTATTACAGACCCTGGAATAGGATTCTCAAAGAATTTGGAACATAACTTGGACATACTCATGAGATTACCAGCCATTCGGGCAGAAATGGCTAGGACAAGTTTGGCTATCTCACATGCACCTCTACTCATCGGACCTTCACGAAAAGGATTTTTAGGTGAAATCTGCAAGCGTACCACTGCTGCAGAGAGAGATCCTGCAACAATTGCTTCCATCACGGCTGGAATTCTGGGAGGTGCCAACATTGTTAGGGTCCATAATGTAAAAGACAACCTGGATGCCGCAAAACTATGTGACGCAATGCTGAAAGTGAAAGGGAGGAAAACCCAGGCTTGATTTTTGGATATTGAAATTTCTGTTCATTGATTCTTGTACCATGTCGAGGGATAAATCGAAATTTCTGTTTATTGATTGTTGTATCATGTCAAAGCTAAAAATAATACAATTTTTTTCAGCTTTGATTTTGAAGAATACCTTTAAACATAGTCTGAAAATTTCCCATTCAACAGCATATCCTCCCTCGTAACTTTGCAGAACATTTATGCGGATGTTTTTTTTTTTTTTTTCGACCTCTGTACTTGTGCTATTTCTTCTGCCTATTCTGAGGTATTGAATCTGGCTCTGGCATGGCTAGTCCTAACATGGCAAGTCCTAACACAAGCTTTATGCTCCAGTAACCCTGGAAGAGGGGTGCTGTCCAAATCAGACACTCAACCGGCTGTTTTGGAAGGCCAACCGGACTTAATAATGACCAAATCAGATAAATTTGTAAAATTCTGCAAGGCAAATCCAACAAAATTCATGCAAGCAATTGGACTTCAATTCAGCTAAGTTTGACACGTTTAGAGCATTTTCGAAGGGCAATGACAATTACATGGGAATGATCCATTTTCAGAGAGCAAACTATAACATAGCCCATACAGTGTCGGCTAATAAAAAAGGAATAGAATGCACATCCATAGCACCTGTGCTTATAGCCCAACAGTAAAGGTACACACTCCCATCCTTGAGGGATGGATTCACATTCCATAGTCTAATTCAAAAAAAAAAGAAAAAAAGAAAAAAAAAGGCACTCATAAAATAACGAATTTCTCATTTTAACTACTTCACATCTACCCAAATAACAGTATCTCCAATTTCAAAACCATCCAACTCCATGTCCACCAGTAAATCATTACATAAAATCTGATAAAAAATAGGGGCACCAATTTCCAAGTATCCATACATTTGGCCTGATTTGAATCATGTTATGCATGTAATGAAGGTTATCAATGATCAAATCCTCTCTTTGTTTGAAAATTAAATAATACAAATAGTCTAACTTCTAATTATTCAAGAATTGTAATAAAAGTTCCAATCCATTGGCTGACAAGGGCCAACAAACTACTTCACTTTTTATGCAAGCATAGGAAACCAACCACCACAGAGACTCCAACAATGACCACAGGAACAGCCCAGTATGGCTTTGACAAGGCCATAAAATTCTGAGTATTCTCTGATGCTTGCTTCTTCTTGGAGTAAATTTCAAGTTCTGGGACAGTGGGGGTGGATTTGTCAAGCTCACCGATGCAAAAGTTCTGTAAAAGCTCTCTTGCACTGTCGCTGTGCCCAACATCTTCGAAATCATCTGTCGCATCCTTTGCTGCGATGAATTTACAAGAACTCGTATCACTTACAGGATTCATCACTAATGTGCTTGAGTTATTTGAACAAACTTAACAACATATAAGTAGCAATAAGGAAACAAAAGACAATTACCAGTTGCTTCAACGACCACATCATCACCTCCAGGGTGCTCGTCCAAATATGAAGTTACATCATATACCTGGCATCAATAAAAAGGTGTTTTTACTTAAATTAGAGGGAATAGATTCAAGTTGTTTGTCCTGTATATAACACAACGGAAAAACAATTTCTCACTACATAAGGTTAAAAATAAACCAGAAAAAGTGACCAATTGCCCACCAAATTGGATGCATTCATCACAAGCAATCATGAACAGAATTAAGCTTAAACAAAACTAACAACCATTAATATGTTCGACAATTTTACAAAGAACAGTTTAAATTTTGAACACAGAATCTAAATTTCAGCCCATAGATTTCAAATCATAAAAAATGGTACAAACTGCACAGGCCACCACCATATGTAAACACAAACACAACAATCATATGATTTCCAGGGATGTAAGACCTGTTAGCAGACAAAAGAAAACCTAGTAGCTACTTTCTTTTGTGCCGGTAGAGAAGAGAAATACAAAGATTTATAGAATTAGAAGAAAAGCTAATAAAGAGAAACTTTAGGATACTGGTTAAATCTATATTTTTATGGGACAGAGCTAATGTTGTCAGTTGCACAATCATATCCAAAAACCAAGATATTCACTCCAGAAAGTCTTTCCCGTTATATAATCAGACAAACATACCACAAAGGGGTTATGCCAATTAATCTACCAAAAAGGGATTACGTGCATTCAAAAGCACCATAACCATAACTACTCCCCTGCGGCTGGAGATAAAATGCAAACCAGGACAGCTGAGGATGTGAGGACAGAGTCCAGTGCTCCAACCCCAGAAAGAGAGGCAATATTTCGACCATAGATACAAATACAGGGGTCAAAATCTGAATCCAATAAACAGAGCAAGTCCCACTGGATTCAATGGAGAAAGAACTAAACTTTACCGAAACCCATGATTTGTTTATTCAAAAGAACAACAGAGAGTGTTAAGAACCCCCATCCCATGTCTAGATCCCATTAATTGGGAGGGGATAAAGAAACAAACTAAGGAAAGAAGATGATACCTTGCCATCAATAACGATCCAGCAATCGTCTTTAGTATTGTGCCCGGAGACTTCTTCCATAGAATAGAGCTTGGCTAGGGTAGGCATCCTCTGCTTTCTCTGAGCCTGCCCTCAACTCCGTCTCCAAGTTTTCGAGTTTTCTCCTGTTAAAAAATTGAGACGAGTGCCAGAGGGGAACGACCGGAATTTAAATACTAATTCCAGTAATGATTTTCGTGGCCAATAAGTCATTTTCAAACAACCATAAGCTTATGAGATCGACTCCTGTCAATGCGGGAACTTTTTCAGTTTTATTTTTTTTACATTATTTTTTGAAAATTTTTAATCTATATTTTAAAAATATAATTATTGTATTTTTTATTATTAATTTGTATAAAAAATAAAATTAATTTAAAATTTATTAATTATTTAATTAAATCATTTTACGTTATATTGATATCAAAAAAATTTTATTTTTATAATTTTTTATACCAATAATAATAAAAACATTTAATAAATATACTTTTTTTTAAAAAAAAAAATCATTGTAGTTTAAAATCAATCCAAAGAAAAAGAAAACTACACCTTAATAAAATGATAAGCGTTATTTAACCCAATAAATCAAGTGTTATTATTAATTTATATTATTAAGACACATTTTATTTTTATTAAATTTATCTTACATTTTTTATTGTGCTTAGGTCTTGGTGTAGCATGAAGGATTAGCAGTGGGCACTATTTGCTTTCAATTGCAGTCAAAGCTAAGATATTAGTTAATCAAATTTTTGGTTATCGCCTTTCAAAAATCATTAGCCAAACAAAAGAATTGGTTTGATAAATTTTGGTTGATTTTTTTTTTTTAACATAACCATTCATTCCAGTTTTGATTTTAATTAAAAACTTATTCTTAAAGTTTTATATTTTTAATTTATTAATTGTTATTTTATTAATTTAAATCATTATAAAAACAAAAATTACCTTAAGCAAAGAAATAGTTTTGTGGGAAGTAATTAGAAGGCCTAAAAATTAATATAGAAACCATTAAAAATATTTAAAATTTTTGGGCTACTATTTTCAGTTGTGCTTAGTCTAGTAACCGAGTCTCGATTTCTAGACCTAGCAACAAAAAATCAAATGAATTCTAGTTAAAAAAGCTTCAAAACCAATCAAACTTGAC